CCTGTGTCCTCCGGGGCGAGAAAAGCTTCTCCCGGTCTCCCTGGTCTGCTGGGGGGGTCCAGCAAAGCAGCTGGACCCCCCCCCCAGCAGACCAGGGACACCAGAGCAAAGCCGCCACCTGGGCGTAAGTCGGATCCGCGTAAGTCGGGGACTGCCTGTAATAAAGTGCTGTAAAACTTAAAACAACAATTCAGTTTTCTCCAAATTTCATTTGTGGTGACGTATTCCGCAAACTTCTCTCGAGTACCCCTTAGACTACTCATACCACTGGTCTGTGAGACTTTTTACACTTGATCACCAGATTTCTGCTTGGTAATGTCATCTCCCATCACTCAATGGCCTTTGGTCTGTAAAGTGAGTTTGCTGGTCTGAGTCCAGACCCCACTGAACAAATGTCCCCAGCATAAACATTACCACTCCACCCTGCATCTTCAAGAACAGTCTCAGTGGAGAGGTTCAGGAGCAAATAGCCATGGAAATTGAGTTACCCTTACAAGTGGTTTGTCCAAAGGAAGGCTGAGTCTCACTGACAGGACAGTGTGGTGAAGCCTGTACATGCACTGCCATGCTTTGCCTGTTCTGTTGATAAAGGGGACTTCAGTGTAGCAGGTTTTCATGTGCACCAAAACTATTTTGTTTCACTTTTCCTTATTAAAAATAACTTCAGACTTCAGTGAAGTTGTTTAGGATGTAAGTAGGGTCCACATTTAGCCCTCTGCATTTAAAGATGCCAGAAACATCTTTTTATATCCACCAAGTTAAATGATTAATAAAATCTACTATTTTTATAGGATTCTTACTTGTGTTGGAGCTGAGATGTCCTGTTCTAAGAGAGGGCCAGTCTGTAATAATTACTGTGCTTATTTTTAGAGGCAGCCGAAATGTATTTTACAGAGAGTCTGACTGCATATGAGGCAGCATTGGGTGCAAAGGATGCCCTGACGCTTACTGCCATTGAGGAATTCAGTAAATGGCTTGTACAAGTAGGGAAAAACCAGGTAACACCAAATACTAGCTTATAAGCTTATTTATATGCCTTAGTGTTTGCAGCTATATAGAATATGCATGTGCAGGTGTGTGCTGGAAAAAAAACCTTACCTCCTTTAATTGCTCTCTTGGGCTTTCAGTTCCAAGGATGTTATGGGAAGTGGAGAGGAACGGTTTGAAGAACCCCTTCTACACCTACCACAGGAAGACAGGGTATCAGAGGAGCCCCTTCACCAGTGCTATGCCACTGGGAGATCCCCTTACATTGCATACTTCATGGACTAACTTTGCACTGGCACTAAGGCCCAGACTCCACCGGTTTCCATCATACTGCCAATGTGGGTGAGGGGGGAAGCAAAAACATTGAACCAACAGCAGCAGTGCTTGACATGGAATCTCCATGCATCTTAGTATAGCCACATGTATCACCTCTTTGCCAGCCAGTGTAAAGTCCTCAGGAGATATGCTGCTGCTCCCACTCAACTCGGTGGGAAATACTCCTATTAAATGCAAGAGGAGAAAGTGTGGACCTCCCTAGAGTTCTAGGTCATCTTATTAATAATACACCTAACAGTGCATATTAGGAATTGCTCGAGCTCTTATTTAAAGTCTGGGTCTTGCCAGGCTGTTTCCATTGGGAGGAGAAATTGATTATAAGAATTAGGTATTTATTTGTAAATAAACAGTAATGCACCAACACCTTATTCCCACACCTACCTTTTCAGCCAGTTCTGTGCCCCAGGAAGGTCTGTGTCCAATCTCTCTCAGGGCTGTTCTCATACTTACTTCCCATGCTGTGTGCTGGTTTCCCCTTGCTATCACACAGAGCCACCATCTGCAATCAGTCGATGCCCCCAATGCTTAATTTTGTAATCAGCTCCCAGGGAAACTCCTTTCGCCACCTGGCTTAGCTCCAGCTTCTCTTTGCATGCACTCTAATGTCTTGGATGGTGGTTTCTACCGCCTCCAGCTAGCATATTCCACAAAAGAGCTGGCATACCCATCAGCTTTAACAAGATCTGTGATTACTGATAGCTCAAGTATCAGAGGGGTAGCCGTGTTAGTTTGAATCTGCAAAAGCGGCGAGGAGTCCTGTGGCACCTTATAGACTAACTGAAGTGTAGGAGCATAAGCTTTCGTGGGCAAAGACCCACTTCATCAGATGCATCTGACGAAGTGGGCCTTTGCCCACAAAAGCTTATGCTCCTACACTTCAGTTAGTCTATAAGGTGCCACAGGACTCCTCGCCGCTTTTGCTGATAGCTCAAGACATTCTTGATGGCAGCCACTAACACTTTACAGTATAACATTATGTACAAGGAGTAAAGTCCTGGCCCCACTGAAATCAATGTGCTGATAGTCCAGTCCAGAATCTGTGATATTGATTTCAGTGGGGCCGGGATTTCACACTATAATTTCTCCCATTTTTATGAAGATCCTGTTTCTACATGTTTTGATTCCTCCATAAGTAATATTTGATGGACAGAGGGATTTTTATGCAAGTTTGATCTCTCTGTTTTCTTGGAAAGTAAGCAGTCTCTCTAAGGGACAGTTCGGCAAAAAATAGGAAACTAAAGGTAATATTTTCAAAAGTAATTTTTCCCTGTGCTTATTTTTAAGGTACAGCATCTTCCAGTGTTTTTTGTGATACAAAATTATACATAGTTCAAAATAGTACATACTTACATCATAGTGTATGACCCTTCACATGCTTATCGTTGAAATACTGGACATGTCCAGTCTATGTAGATCATGGGTCAAAGAATATTAGGTGTCAAATAAAGAGGTCACTGTACCCACATTTCCTTAAAGATCAGTGCACAGAATTATATACTATATGGGTTCTTTCTCATTGGAGAATGGCTATAGATCTCAGGAAGCATCAGTGTTAAACTCCAAAAGAGTTAAGCATGCAGCAGTTAAGTCATTAAAATATGCTGATCCAAAAATGAATATATTTTATTGTATTTCTCTGTTTCATTTTTTTTCTGTAGCAGGCATACAGGCTGCTGAAAGATTCATTAAAGTCCATCATAGACACCTTTGGTGATTTTAGTGAGAAGACAGCTGAAACTTACCATATTTTGGGCAGTATCTGCCTAACAGAGGGAAAAGTCAGAGAGGCTTACCAGCTGTTCAGTAAGGTAATTATAACTGCATTGCTAGTAACACCCCTGCATCTCTATCACTATTCTGCATTGCTAGTGTTTTTCTTGGATATACTGCCACATAGTGTTTGAAAATGTAAATGCACACTAATTTTCCAAACTATAAATCCTCTAGAAATGTTAGGCTTTATATCTCTAGACATAGATAGGGAGTCTGATATGTGGATCACACTGATGGTAGTAATGAGTTTTACCCATGTATACCCATCCACTGTCCCATGTCCTCACCAGGATTTGGGTTCTGTGGACATTTGAGGATAGATCTGGCTAGCAATGATGCACCCCACATTTACTCCCCCTGCAGAAAGCTGATCCAGGCGATCAGTTGGGATTTAAAAGTGCTAATGGACCACTATGACAATTGCTACCCCACAATTGGGGAGGGAAAGCAGAATACAAAACTCTGTGCTGTTGTGGGGAGGAGGAGAAAAGAGCTTCCCACTAGTGGCAGCATGCATCTATCTCTTGCCTTAGAAGCCCTCCTCCCACCCCCCCAGTGGAATGAATAAAAAGAAGCTATATGAATTAAACTGTAAAATGACTTCTCACCCCTCTCAGCCTGGGAGACTCTAGCCCTAGCCAGCCACTATGCCTCAGTGTCCGCATCTGTATAACAGTGACTAATAATACCTGTAGCATAAAGGTGTCATGCAGAGTGATTTGATGCAAACTGCTGTATAACACTGCTGTTGTTATTTATATTATGCCCGTGTATTTAATTCTACAACACTCAGCCATTTTTAAAAATATTCCTCTGATGTTATTGAAGTCCTTTATAGGCACTTGAGCTTGTTTGCTAATATATAGAAAACTAGGCATAATTAGTACTTAGGAACTGTGATTTGATTTTAATTTGGGTTATATAATGTATCACTTCCTGTTCATTTTCTGCTAAACAGCGTTTGGCGATTCAAATAGCTGTTTATGGGCCTCGTAACAAGAAACCCAAAGAGACGCAAGATCTCCTGACTGCATTAGAGAGGTGATATCATCAGCATTATTATTTATAGTGTAATATTATATCATTCTTGTTATTCCTGAGAACGCTCACGACACTGTACCTGCCCCAGGACACGTAGCAGGTTGCTAGCATCAAATGTTCATATCTGGAGTCTTGTTTAATAAAGAACAAAATTAAGCAGAAAAAACAACAAATGGTCTGGTAGCACTTTATAGGCTAACAAAACATGTAGATGGTATCATGAGCTTTCATGGGCACAGCCTACTTCTTCAGATGACCGGAGTTAAAAATTAAGCTGGGATTTCTGACAAGAGGAGGGGGGCAGGAGTTGGACTCTGAGCTGCAGATCTACAGAGGCATAGGGCAGGAGGACTCTAGGCTAGTGGGGGTGAAGGGCGGCAAAGTAGCTCCCACTGTAAGTTAGAGCAATCTGCCAGTGGATTGCCAGTAGTCTAGCTGCCCTGGAACATTCTGTGCTATCTTGCTCCCTTTGCACACACCATATGTTACAGAACTGACAACTCGTTGCTTCTGTGCATGCGTGTGGGGGATCTGGAATGGATGCCAGAATCAGTGCCTGGATATCTCATGCAATGCAATTAACCATGGCACATGGAGCCTTTTTCCATTGAATTACTGGTTCTAATTCACATCAGGTTAGCGGGTCTGAAAGTTGTTACTGTCTGGTATTTGTTCAGCGAAAACAGGTTTCTAAAATTTCTTGCTCATTTGTTCCCACTGAATTCTGTGTTAATTCTCCACTTGATTGAGTGCTGCTATTGCTCTTTTAGAAGTTAATCTAAGGATTAGGGCTGCAACTGTGAAAATAAATCTTTGAACTACAGCAATTTCATTCAGAATGATAATGTTCTATATTAGCATTTTTATTTTCACTCATCTATTTAACCCCTGCTACTTGCTAAATCTTGTGCTGCGTATGTGTAGAGTACTTTACATGGCATAGTTTAGACAGGGCCTGGCCACAAAGAGTTTACAATTTAAACTAGTTGGATACACTGAAAACAAAGAATGGGAATAGAGAACACTATAGAACACAATAGGAGGTGAGCAAAACAAGTGAGTCTTAAAAACAAGGTATAAAAAGAACTAGAGAGTGCTTAGTTCATGGGAAACGGAAGCATAAGTTCAGTGTGACATAAGGCACAAAATCATGAGTAGAAGGAAGGGACTCAACCACCATTATGGAGAGGATAATGAGCAGGCATAGGCTAGCAGGAATATAATAAATGGAAGGCTATGTTGTATTAACTATTCCTGCCCACTGCCCAAAAATTTATCCAGGATTCAGCAACCCAGTTGTTTCCATTAGAAATTAATGAGACGAGTCAGATATTTCTTTTATTAATCCCATTTATTTGCAAAAGATATATACAGCATCCTGTTCCTCTGAACACAATAGAAATAAACAGCAGCAGGCAAGTTTCCCATTCAGAAATCCACGTCTGTCTTCTCAACTAACATTTTGTCCACAATTTCACTCCTGGCTTCCTCTCAGAGCCAACCTCACCCTGTTTCCCTCACTGTCTCTTGGCTTTCTTCTCCTGAAAAAAACAATATGCTCCACCAGTCAATGTCTCAGTTCCTGCATTTACAATCAGTCCCAGGGAAACCAAGCCTATTTTGAGTTAATTCTTCTTCAGACCTTGCTCGCCTCAAATGGATGCATCTGTTGTTTTAGTTGCCTTTCTCCATAAACCAGATTAATTGCTTCTTCCATTTAGCCTAAATAAAAGGTGTCTATCATGCCCATGAGCACTCATATCTGTCAATGTCTGTAGATCAAAAACTCACTTGATGGCAGCCATTGGCCATTCCAGCATAACATTATTATTAGCAAAGTGCCAGTAGTGCACTCATCCTTCTGAAGCACAGGAGATAATGCAGTCTCACCCCAGGAATTCCCATTCTAAACTGCATGTGAGATGACCTAAGTGAGATAAGAGAACAATTCCTTTACACCTTTGTTGGGAAACCTGACAGAAACATGGATTTTTCTCAGTTTTTCCAGTACTTCACAAGGCACCAAAATGTAGTGGTTATCTTGTGAAATGATCACTGTATCCTTCTGAACCAGAGCATGAATCTCAAAAGGCAAGATGTTTGGGTACAATTTGGGTAAGGCATTTAACAAAATACAGGACTATGTAGCACTTTAAAGACTAACAAGATGGTTTACTAAAATATTGAGATAAGTATCTAGAGCAGTGGTCCCCAGTGCAGTACCCATGGGAGCCATGGCGCCCGCCGGAGCATTTATGTGCACCCGCCGAGTGATCAGGGCTGGTCCAAGCCATTCTTGCGCCCCGGACACCGGGCGCACACGCGGCCCCACCCCCCAGGCATGGGCGCAGCCCCACTCCCCAGGCACGCGGTGTATGAGCGGCCCCACCCCTAGCAGCCCCAAAAAGGTTGGGGACCACTAATCTAGAGAAATGGATAAACATAAAACTTGTAGAACTAATCTGAGCTGTTGAGTCTCATTTTATAAAAAAGCAGGTCTTATGACATTCTCTGGTTTGCCTAATGAGAAAACACAATTTTCAGGGATATGTAGTCTACAAATAAAGAAATATGAAGAATGCCAAGGAAAATAAAATTACCTAATGTTTCCTCTATTGTAGGTCTCCAGCAGTCCATGAAGGAAACAGACTTGTGAAGTAGATAAAATAGACAGCACTGAAGAAAACAGTTGGCAAAAAATGTTGGATTCTTAGCAATTGACAGCAAAGTAAATCTAAATTGGAGGAAAATGCAGGACAATGTAGCACTTTAAAGACTAACAAGATGGTTTATTAGATGATGAGCTTTCGTGGGCCAGACCCACTTCCTCAGATCAAATAGTGGAAGAAAGTAGTCACAACCATATATACCAAAGGATACAATTAAAAAAAATGAACAAATATGAAAAGGACAAATCACATTGCAGAACAGAAGGAGGAGGCGGGGGGGTGGGAAGGGGGAGGAAGGAAGGTAAGTGTCTGTGAATTGATGATATTAGAGGTAGGGAGAGTGGGATGTTTGTGAGTTAATGGTATTACAGGTGATAATTGGGGAAACTGTCTTGATAATGGGTGAGAAAGTTCAAAGACTTGTTAAGTCCCTGGTGGTAAGTGTCGAATTTTAACATGAATGACAGTTCAGAGGATTCCCTTTCAAGTGCAGATGTAAAAGGTCTTTGTAGCAGAATGCAGGTGGCTAAGTCATTTAGAGAGTGTCCTTTCTGGTTAAAGTGGCAAGAAACTGTTTTCTCTTTGTGATCTTGTCTGATATCTGTTTTGTGGGCATTAATCCTTTGGCGAAGTGTCTGAGATGTTTGTCCAATGTACATAGCAGACGGACACTTTCGGCACATGATAGCATAGATTATATTTCTGGATGCGCAGGAATATGTGTTCTTGATCTTATAACTCACTTGGTTAGGTCCAATAATGGTATCAGCAGAATGAATATGTGGACAAAGCTGGCAACGGGGTTTGTTGCAAGGGAAGGTACCAGGGTTGGTATTAGTGTGGTATGTCCTGTGGTGGTTGGTAAGAATCATCTTGAGGTTAGGTGGTTGTCTATAGGAGACTATGGGTCTGTCTCCCAGAGCCTCTTTGAGTATGGTATCCTGTTCCAATATAGGCTGTAGTTTATTGATAATGTGTTGGACAGGTTTAAGTTGGGGGTTGTAGGTGATGACAAGTGGTGTTCTATTGTTGGTTTTCTTGGGACTGTTTTTTCTTTGTGATCTTGTCTGATATCTGTTTTGTGGGCATTAATCCTTTGGCGAAGTGTCTGAGATGTTTGTCCAATGTACATAGCAGACGGACACTTTCGGCACATGATAGCGTAGATTATATTTCTGGATGCGCAGGAATATGTGTTCTTGATCTTATAACTCACTTGGTTATAAATTGGAGGATTAATGTGAGAACTCAAATACAATCTACTTGTTACCATTAACTCAACAGAAAATTCTGTTTATATTTGCTTTAGTTTAGGAAAAAGCATCAACGTTCCAGGTAAACTTCCCCCTCCTATTCTTCCCTCATTTTTTTATTATATTTTTAAGGTCTGGGTCTAATGTAGCATATCAGATATTTTACTGATGGGAATTAAAAATGTGTATAAATTTCAAAAGTCTTGATTAAATGACTGCCTGTGGGAAAGATATAGCAATACATATTTACATACATTTAAAAGCATTTATTTGAAGACATTCCACTAGACTTTGGTGAATGAAAGCAGAATATACATAATGGAGAAACCCAGACTAGACCCTTATTCCCCCCACCTATTAGTATATTTGCCTTTTTATAATCTAACCATGGAAAGTAACCCAATGTGTTAAATATAGTCTGCTTTTAGAACTTCAGCTAAGAAAACAGAATGCTTAACTTCATTGCCAAGTTTAATTCTCATGCCTATGGTTTGAATCGGGATATTGGATGGCTTGCACATTATCAACCAACTAACCAATGAAGGTGCTATCTTCCTTTCCAAGTGCTAACGGTTCTTATCAGTCTCCTGTAACTACTCAGTCTTTAAGATGCTACTAGACTTGTTTAATTTTTTCCTGTTACAGACTCACTCGGCTATCCCTCTGAAGCTTATCTACTCACTGTCTTTTTTTCTTCCTCCCCTTCAATTCCCCCCCCCCCCCCCCACACACACACCTTATTTATCCTTGGATCTGGACTTCCAACACTCCCGTTATCTGAGGAAGTAGGTTGTACCCACAAAAGCTCATACCACCATCTACATGTTTTGTCTGTAACAGGAAAAACTTAAAAAACAACTCTGCTACCCCTCTGATTCTTTGGATGTGGAATTCCTCTAACACTTGATCTTCACTACAAACTCTGTTAGAACAGAGCCATGAAGAGTTGAGTTTGCTAATATAATGCTGATCACAATTATGCACTCAATATTAGACAGTGTTATAATCATGATTCAGAAGCCTAAGCCACTTTGGATCTTAGGCATTTTTTAAAATTTGACTCAAAGACGATCACGTTTATCATTGCAGAACTTAGTCATTAAGCTCAGGATTCAACTTGAGGCATGGGTGCATGCCAGAGCTAAGAAGCATTGGGGCCAACATGCACTACTTTCCAGTGGTCTTGTCAGCATAATAGCCACTAGCCCATTGCTATGAAGATCATACCTCTCTCTGAGGGTTTCCCCATGTTTGTGGAATCCGCCATTATTAATTTAGAGGCCTGAGGTCTGTGCTTCATAGTGGCACAGAGACCTTAGCAAAGATCCGGTGCCTAGGATACAAAAAGAACACTACATAATGCAGTTCTGAATGTTTACAATAAAACTGTTTAATCACTACTGGCTGCTAGTACTATATAGTTTGTTTTTATTTCTTTGTTCTTGCCAAGCTCACAGTTGGTGTAAAACAGACTTGTACATATACAAATGAAAATAGTTTTCATAGCCTTTAGACTTATGTTCAAAAGTAATGTCAAGTCACAGCTATGTCTTTGAACACAACACCAGGTTGTTCAAATCAGAAATGTTGTACCAATAAAAGCAAGCAGGATCTAATGAGGGGGAATAAGGCAAAAAGCCACATTTATTATAAAAATAATAATAAAGAATAAAAAAAATAGAAGCAAACAATGTTGTTTAACTACTTATTCCTATCACTACTTAACCCTTATACATATATATATATTCATATTAATTCATTCATTCAATCAGGGTCTGTGTATTTGTTATAGTTACCAGCCTGGAAGTTGCTTGTGACAGAATACTGGCCAGGTATTCTGTATACAAGTGATGGTAGTGGGGAGTGAAGTCCTGATCAGATGCGCATCTGAACCTGCTCGTGGGCTGGCAGCAAAACCTTGGACTCTGACTCCATAGTCTTTTAGTCCAGTTCTTATAGGAATTTCTTCCTATGCCAGTCTATGGGAATTGCTGCATCATGCTGATGTCCAGGGTGGCTGTCAAGTGCTTGTCAGTGATCTCATAGGGTGGACCTCCAGTACTTAGTTTTCTCCACTTGACAACTTTTGGTTGCACTGGCACCTGATGCCTTCTTCAGCCCTTTGTTGCTGCATTCTCAGGCTGGCACCTCTCAAAACCATTCATTCATCGTCCAAGCACTCTCTCTCTTACATACATTCCCTAATTAATGTTTCCCATACAGTATTTTGTATAATAATAACTTTACATATACAAGAGTTGTAGTTACAAAACGTCACAAGTTTCTGGGTGGCATTTCTTAAAACATTCTCTCTCTGAGTGCTGAGTTAGTTACTGTTATAGTTACAATGTTTCACTTTGAAGCAATTAACCCTAATCGCACAATGCTTTGAAGAGAATGGGCGTCAATTGTGTAACAATAAGTTTGAGCTGCCCTGGGACACAGAGAGGGGAGCTGTTTCTGGCTACATAGTATTATATTTTAACAGTTTTAAGTTACATGACCTAATATTACATTCCTAACAAATTATATTCTAGAGGGGCAATAATTATAAATCTAAACATTTAACAATCTTAACAAATAATAATAATAATAAATCTAAACACTTATCAAGCTAGATAACACTAAATCTAAACACTTATATGCTTCTTCTACTTAAACTTATACTACTTAGACTTGTAGTTGTGGGGAACAAATTATGGGGAGTCACTTCCTCTTGGGGGAATAATTTTTAATACTTTAATATGTTATCCCTACAGAAATGTGTTGAATTTAGTAAGACATTGGCTCCATTTCATCACATTAGTCATTTGGGATTAGATGCAAGTCATGATGTTCAGCACTTCATACTCCAAGGCATCATACACATAGTTACCGAAGACGCCAAGTAAATAATTTCTCTCCTGTCAAAGAGAAAACTGTTAGAGGCAATCTTAAGAGAAAAGTTCAATGTTTTCTATATAGCCTTTCAAATTAATTTATCTGAATATGTAAATTAAATATAATGATAAAGCAATAACTAGATACCCAAAACTCCTCCAAAATAATCTTTTTTTGTGAATGTGGCAGCTGTGAAATCCCAGAGAGCTGTTTTTAAAAATAATTGTATTAAACATCCGACAGTGCATCAAAATAGAACTATCAAAACTGCAGTAAACTCCTGTTGCTCTGAATGGGTAAGTGATGTATGCACTAGATAAACAATTGTTAGTAATAGCATCTTTGAGTTCTGCAGCAGCCAACTGATGTCAGTCATCACATGATCTTATTACCATTAACCTCTTTCCTTTTTTTATTTCCAGTTAGCTTGTAAAATCTGTGGGTCAGGGATCATCTTTGTACAGTTGCTATGACAATAGGGATGAGTGCCATTTTTTGGTCCTGCTAGGGTATAAATAATTAACTATAATATAAAACTTATCTGAACAGAGCTATAGAGATTGCCCACTGATCTTTGGATCTCTGACTGCAATTTTGCTATTCCTATTTTGATGCAACATCAAGTTGGTAACATGCCTTCATCCTGTTGCATTATTTGCAGTGGCTGTGTCTGGTCAAACAATGGATTCTTCATATTGCAAAAGATCTCTTTATCATTCAGGGTTTAATCATGTCTAGAACAGATTGGCTACATTTATGACAAATCATGTCTGAAGAGAACAAATGCAACTTCTGATATGAAACGCGGTCCATTTACTACTGGAAATGTGTCTTCATCCTAAAACTTGGGATTCGTGGCTTTTAAAATTGAACAAGGAAGTATGGAGCTTCAACGCATTCCTACAGAAGGCAAGTACCAGCTACCCTCAAGTAAGTGACTGTTAAGCCTTCACTCAAGAAATCATCACTTGCACTGGTGGTCTAACCAATTAGCACTGTGGTTCTGGTCCTCCCTCTGAAAATATGGAGAAGTAATTTCAGTAAGTGTGCACAGAATGCAAGTCATTGAAAGTTTGTCCACTTATGGTGGATTCACAAAACATCTATATCATGAACTACCTATCTAGCATTCTTTCTGATTCCGTGTGATACTGAAATAGCAGTTAGGAATAAACAAAGTCAGTCAATTTTATAACATAGCATTTTATTTTTAAGAAATAATTCATTCACTTCGTTTTTATTAAATACAAAAACAGTTCTAAATGCAGAAAAATACCCATGTGGTACATATGTCTAGGTTTGTTAATGTTCATACAATTTGATAAATTAAAGACAACTGACTTCCCATTGTGGCACGCTATAGTATTTTATATATATAAAAAAAATAAAATTCCTTGGGATTTTTTATTCTCCCAAACCAATATTCCAATACTCTTTTACCTTAAAACTCTTTTACCTTAAAACTCTTAACAAATAAGTACTTTTGATTTGGAAGGCAGTGGTGAATAAATGGGATTAGAGGACAGCTGGTAAAAGGAACAAACTTCAATATCAGGGGTTGTATTAGTCAATTAAAAAAAAAAGCCAAAATGACACTGCCCAAATACTTAGTGATTTGTTGGGTTCCATGCTAACTTTCCAGTGCAGCACAAGCCCTGCTGCTGTGGAAAATAGGCCAGCTTCATCCCTGATGAAATTCCAGAGAATTCAATAGTTTACAGCAAGCTGGAATCTTGCTGAAGACGAGCAATTTTTTGGTACTTTTGGCAAAACCGCAGTTTACTGTTATTAAGAAGTCAGTTTCAAATTTCACTCTCCACTTGTATTCTCACATTTTAGCCTTTATAATAATTTCAACAACCCAACTAGCACAAGCCAGGATTCACACATTGATCACCTGTAATTGCTTCATCCATTCTTAGAGCAAACCATTGGATTAGCATACCACTATTGCCACAGATTTACTGCATTGCTTGTGTTTGTGATTATTCCAACAATGGTGATAGAATACCCCAGAGGCTGTTTGTGATGTGCAAACTTGGAATAATCACCAAATAAACCACCATCAGAGCACCTCAGAGGCCAAGGATTAAACTATCTTTTCTGGTCCTTCTAGGTCAGAGTGAGAAACACGAGCAAAGTAATATTGGAGAAGCTTCATTGTAGCTGCTTATTCTGTTGTTCCTTTCTGTGGATGTCCATTCTCTGGGTTTTCAATTTGGCAACTTTCAAGTTTTTTAATTAAATATTTTATCATTCTGAATAACCATAAATGAAATGCACAGTCCATATCATATAGCTAGAGTTCTGAATCAGTAATGTCCTCGTCAGGGCAACAATAGTACTCAACAAAACAGATCTGTCCATCTTCATTCCTAATCATGTACTGCAGTGAAAGGAATCCCCGATTATCTGTCCGAATAGACACTTTACAAGATAAACCTAGTGCCTTAGTAGATGGCTTGAGCAAGGAGATTTTATACCTGCAGGTAAAAAAAAGGCCATATTCAAACATATAAAACATAACAGTGGCTGAAACCTTATTCTCAAGTAATGGACCAAAACTGACAAAACTCACTAGCAACACATTTAACTACAGTATAGTTTTACAGTACGGTTTAACTTTTTCCTATTACTGTATCAACAGTAATACACTTTATACACTAATTCTTTTTATTCAGCTTTTGACCAGATGAAAAAAAATCTGTCAAAAATGTTTAAATACTGCTCTATATTTTAGGGAAAGTCAAGACATTTCAGTAACAGACAACCACATGTTCTGTTTGTTTGTAAGAAAGTGTAGTCAGACTACTACTATTATTGCCCTAATCACTGACCTGTTTGTCTGGGTCTGGTTACAGTGAAATGCTTCTATCAAATCAGAGTCTTTGGGATAGTCAAGATGAGCACTTCCTGCATTTCCAAAGGTGGATAATCTAAAAGACAAAATACACCAACACAACAAAGTATTTGATATTGGCACCATTGAATTTGAAAAGTGGCAACAACTGAAAATAATGTTATTCATCAGGACAATTTTTAAAGCAGAAGGGTTTAACAAGCTACCTAGTCTTCATGAAAAATGAGATCACAATGCTAGCATTTAATTTTCTATTAGAATGAATCACAAGCATAACATATACTTAGATTTTCAGAAAGCCTTTGACAAGGTCCCTCACCGAAGGCTCTTGTGTAAATTACATTGCCATGGGATAAGAGAGAAGGTCCTTTCATGGATTGAGAACTGGTTAAAAAACAGGAAATAAAGGGTAGGAATAAATGGTAAATTTTCAGAATGGAAAGGGATAACTAGTGGTGTCCCCCAAGGGTCAGTCCTGGGACCAATCCTTTTCAACTTATTCATAAATGATCTGGAGAAAGGGGTAAGCAGTGAGGTGGTAAAGTTTTTGGATGATACCAAACTGTTTAGGATAGTCAAGATAGAAGCAGACTCTGAGGGACTCCAAAAAGATCTCACCAAACTGAATGATTGGGCAACAAAATGGCAAATGAAATTTAATGTGGATAAGTATAAAGTAATGCACATCGGGAAAAATAACCCCAACTATACGTACAGTACGATGGGGGCTAATTTTGCTACGACAAATCAGGAAAGAGATCTTGAAGTTATCGTGGATAGTTCTCTGAAAACTTCCACACAATGTGCAGCGGCAGTCAAAAAGGCAAATAGGATGCTAGGAATTATTAAGAAAGGGATAGAAAATGAGAGAATATCCTACTGCCCCTGTATAAAACTATGGTATGCCCACATCTTGAATACTATGTACAGATTTGGTCTCCTCACCTCAAAAAAGATATTTTGGCCTTGGAAAGGGTTCAGAAAAGGGCAACTAAAATGATTAGGGGTTTGGAATGGGTCCCATATGAAGAGAGGTTAAAACAACTGGGACTTTTCAGTTTAGAAAAGAGGAGACTGAGGGGGGATATGATAGAGATATATAAAATCATGAGTGGTGTGGAGAGGGCGGATAAAGAAAAGTTATTTATTAGTTCCCATAATAGAAGAACTAAAGGACACCAAATGAAGTTAATGGGTAGCAGGTTTAAAACAAATAAAAGAAAGTTCTTCATACAGCGTGTAGTCAACCTGTGGAACTCCTTGCCAGAGGAGGCTGTGAAGGCTAGGACTATAACAGAGTTTAAAGAGAAGCTAGATAATTTCATGGAGGTTAGGTCCATAAAAGGCTATTAGCCAGGGGATAGAAATGGCATCCCTGGCCTCTGTCTGTCAGAGGCTAGAGAAGGATGGCAGGAGACAAATCGCTTGATCACTGTCTTCGGTCCACCTTCTCTGTGGCATCTAGTGCTGGCCACTGTCGGCAGACAGGCTACTGGGCTAGATGGACCTTTGGTCTGACCCAGTACGGCCGTTCTTATGTTCTTATCTGTGGCACTCAAGAGTTCTCCTGATAGCAGCAGAATTATGCTAATATGAATGATTATCATCTTACATTAGCACCTAGAGGGCACAATCTGCTATACTACCAGAAAGTGAAAGAAACACGCTGTGCAGTACCTGATTATAGAGCTGCTAGGAATATGTAAGGCTCAGGAGTTCCCCTACATCCTGCAGCATGCAAGTGCTGATTTTTCAGCCCTGATCAGTCACCTTTTCCAAGACCATGCAGATTTTATTCTTTATAACAAAAATACTGAGTGAATGGATTCAAAACACCCTGGAATTTGTTTCACAAGGAATAAAACTCCTTTTATCTGGTATTTTGTATCCGCTTAAACTAAGATTTCAACTGGATGCTAATCTTAAAATGATGCATTCTGTAGCCAAAACCATCAGGCTGAGAAATAAGGATGAACTGTTGCCTGATACCTTGTTTGAATAACTGAAACCTTCATATGTGATGCAGTAAACCATTATAATAGAAGACATATTTAAATAAATATGATGCAGATCTGTATTATACTGAAGGAGAAACAATATTTCCAAACCATCAAAGAGCAATTCAAGTTGCTACACATGAACCTTTGAAATGGACATGCACTTTCTCATACCTGAAATAAGGTTTGTCCGGGGACATCGTAATCTGCAAGACCTCGCTGGTCATATCTAATTCAGCAAATGCTTCACGTAATCCTTCTGACTGCAGGATAATTTTATTAACCACATTTGTACTGCAGAAATCAAAATCTAGTGTTTCTTCGGGTTCTTGAGTGTTAATTTTACACACAGTTACCACACCTCCTTCTTCTAGAAATAGGGTCAAGGGGTAGCCATAACCACGGTAACACATTCGAAGTGCTGTTGAAGTACCTGAAATGATGATAAAATTAGCATTCTGAGACTAGATGGCATGACCTTTGGAGGCCTGGACTCTAGCCATGCTTAGATTACAGTTTATTATCCTGGAGTTTTCATAAAGAGATTGTCAATCATCCTAAATTGTGTGGCGATTTTGTGATTGAGACAGAATTCAGTAAAGGTCTGCCTGTATAAACCTGGACAAATAACAGTTTCTCTGTTTCAGTTCCCTGTCTTAAAATGGGGATAATACTACAAACATGTTGTAAAGATTAATTGTTTTCAAGGGGCTCAGATGCTATAGCATAATGGAGAGGCCACAGAAATACCACAGACATTTGTAATTTTGAAAATAATGGGATAAGTTCTTTCAAAGATTTATAACTGAACATTGACTTCATACAGCATTGAACCTTTAGTATGCAGAAAACAAATGTTGCTTTTCCTTTATAATTTTAGTTTACATTAATAATACTGCATGGTATTTGCTTTTCTTTTGTCTCTATTCCTGTCTTCATTGCATACTTCTGGTTCCAAATGAGATGTATGGTTGACAGATCAGTTCTTAAATTTCAGGTTCTACTTTACCTAGAAAGAGTATAGTCATTATTGAGTTATATGAATGTTTTTACAATAGTTTAGGATTGCTGAAGTGTAATGGATTGTTTGAAAGCTACAGAAAGAAAAGACCATAAACACCAAGCATGCAGTTGGCTTTTTGTCAGAAACACCATTAATGGATTTCCTTCTACTCATAATAGTTGGCCCCTCCTTGGGCTTGTCTATACTTAGTGCTAGATCGGTACTGCTGCAATCAATTCAGCAGTGTAGATTTAGCAGGTCTAGTAAAGACCTGCTAAATCAATGGCAGAGCACTTTCTGGTAGACTCTGATACTCCACCTCTCCAAGAAGAATAAGGAAAGCCAATGGGAGAGTTTCTCCCATTTGCACTGTGCATAAGCTACATCAATTCCTGTTATGTTATTCACATAACTGGAGTAGGGTAATTTGGGTCAACTTACCACAGAAGGGTAGACAAGGCCTGTGCCTTAACATTTCATAGATCTGTGTATAATCACAAGATGACATGGGGAAGGCGATGTCCATGATATACCTTGACTTTAGCACAATTTTGATACAATCTCCCAAAATATTCTTGCCAGCAAATTAAGGAAGTATGGATTAGATAAATGGACTATAAGGTGGAGAGAAAGTTGGCTAGATTGTCAGGCTCAACAAATAATGATCAATGGTTCAATATCTGTTTGGTGGTCAGTATCAAGTGGAGTGCCCCAAGGGTGTTTTGTTCAACGTCTTTATTAATTGCCTTGATGAGGGGATGGATTGCACCCTCAGCAAGTCTGCAGCTGACACTAAGCTAGGGGGAGAGGTAGATACACTGGAAGGTAGGGATAGGGTCCAGAGTGACCTAGACAAACTGGAAGATTGGGCCTAAAGAAATCTGATGAGGTTCAACAAGGACAAGTGCAGAATCCTGCACTTGGGACAGAAGAGTACCAAGCACAGTTACAGGCTGGGGACTGACAGGCTAAGCAGCAGTTTGGCAGAAGAGGACCTGAGGATTACAGTGGATGAGAAGCTGGATATGAGTCAGTGTGCCTGTGTAGCCAAGAAGGCTAATGGCATATTAGGGTGCATTAGGAGGAGCACTGCCAGCCGATCTAGACAAGTGATTATTCCCCTTTATTCGGCACTAGAGCATTGTGTCCAATTCCGGGCCCCCATAACAGAAAGCCCATTTACGCACTGGAGAAAGTCCAGTGGAGGACAGCAAAATGATTAGAGGGCTGGAGCACATGACTTATAAGGAGAGGCTGAGAGATTTGGGCTTATTTAGTCTACAGAAGAGTGAGAGGAGATATGATGGCAGCATTTAACTACCTGACAGGGAGTTCCAAAGAGGACAGAGAAAGGCTGTTTTCAGTAGTGACTGATGACAAAACGAGCAATGGTTTCAAGTTGTAGTGGGAGAGGTGTAGGTTTGATAGTAGGAAAATCTGTTTTACTAAGAGGGTGGTGAAGTCCTGGAATGGGTTACCTAGGGAGGTGGTGAAATCTCTGTCCCTAGAGGTTTTTAAGTCTTGGCTCGATAAAGCCCTGGGTGGGATGATTTAGTTGGGATTGGTCCTGCTTTTAGCAGGGGGTTGGACTAGATGACTCCTTGAGGTCTCTTCCAACCCTATGATTCTAAGATTCCACTGCCATTTCTCTTACAAATCTTATATTTATGAACAGTTTGTCATCTAAACTCACGACATCTAATTTGGAACCTTTCACTGCCCCTTTACTTATAGCTGTGTCCGCTGCTATCTTTTCCATCACTGAGGGTACGTCTAGACTACATGCCTCTGGCGACAGAGGCATGTAGATTAGGCTACCCGACACAGTAAAATGAAGCGGCGATTATTTAAATCGCCGCTTCATTTACATTTACATGGCTGCCGCGCTGAGCCGACAAACAGCTGATCAGCTGTTTGTCGGCTCAGCGCGATAGTCTGGACGCTCCCCTGCCGACATCAAAGGTATTTGTCGACCACCCAGGTATGCCTCATCCCAGGAGGCATACCTGGGTGGTCGACAAATACCTTTGATGTCGGCAGGGGAGCGTCCAGACTATCGCGCTGAGCCGACAAACAGCTGATCAGCTGTTTGTCGGCTCAGCGCGGCAGCCATGTAAATGTAAATGAAGCGGCGATTTAAATAATCGCCGCTTCATTTTACTGTGTCGGGTAGCCTAATCTACATGCCTCTGTCGCCAGAGGCATGTAGTCTAGACGTACCCATAGTATCTGGATTCAGTTGAGTATTTACCCTTGTGGCCACACAAGCAATTATCACAGCATACAGTTGCAGCAACTTAAGAAGCTAACGTGTGGCCTAATCAATCAATGGTAGCTGTTTTTCATGGGGTGGGGAGAGACTTAGTGGGGGAAAGGGTAGGGTATTTTAAAATGACTAGAACGATCACTTTCATAAAGTTACTTGGAGATGGGCAGAAACACAAGTTTCTTTCTAATTATCAAGAGCATCAGGTCAGAATATGCACACACAATACCTGGCAAAGAATTTGTACCAAAGATGGTCAAGCAGTCTAAAAGAACAGCCAAATTGATTCGAAACATCACCGACTCTTCCTGTATAATAAATTCTTGAAAAATCCCTGCCTGTAAAATAAAATAAAAGTATATGTATGGAAGAGGTACAACAACATTTGTTCCCCTTTATGTAGTAACAGTGACTTAATCATCTCTATAAATCCATAGTATTCACCATCAAGAGTGCAACAAGATGTAAACTAAGTGCATGTAGTCAGGATCTTTTAAGAATTAGTACATAGCTTAGACAAAGAAAAACCAGATAAGTATGACATTTGGATGACAGTAGCCTTTTACAATTTTTTAATAAGCTATAAATGTTAAAGCAGAAAGCTCTCTCCATCAATCAGCAGATGTTCAGTGCACTACTATACAACTTAAAAAACACAACTTGTCATTTCCAGTATGCCTTGGATGATAAGTGCTTCCAAAAACAGAAGACAGCACAATTTTTGCCTTGAGGAGCTCTTAATCTAACAGTCAAGTAAACAAGCAGCAGCAGAAATAAGTGAACTCATTAAACAAAATATGACTTCTTAAAAATCAAAAAAATAAAACCAAGCAAGTAGGTAAAAATTTAAGACTACAGAAAGAGCTAATTTTCTTTTTGCTCCCTTCAATTCCCTTTGTGGTTCTTTTTTTAATTATCCCTACACCTTATTTGGAGGGATAGATTTAATTACACGAAACGTTATTAGAGATATCTGAAAAGGGTAAGTGTCAATAGTAATCATATTAAACACATGTTGAGAAAAAATAATTTAAAGTATTGTTTAGGGGTCAGGAGAGATGCAACGAGATGTATGTCAAGAGGAGTGAACTCAGTACAGTAGGGCTCACTACAGTAATTGCTTGATAACTTAAGACAACAGTGAACTCCTTAAAAGATGGATGATATCTGAATGCAGAAAATTTTGAGATCCTGAAATGGAAGATGATGCATAAATGCAAATAATGGGATGGTATTAGGGAAAGGGAAATAAGGCTGAATATTAGTAAAAAGTTTTCAAAAAGTGATATTTAGTCAACTGTAGAACTGTCTTCCATTAGGGAAGTGATTGGATCATTAATATGATCCATCTATATTCATAGCTTTGTCTGATGTGAAGAATATATCCATAATGAGCAATCCAGCACTGGCCTTTGAGGCTGCACATAATGACCTACACAGGGGTGGGCAATAATTTTTGATGGGGTCCACTCCAAGAATATAGAAAATGGTCAAGGGTAGGACTTTTCCATTATATTAATGGAGGAGGTGTGGGATCTGGGATGGAGGTTGTTCTTCACACAGTGCACAGTCAACCTGTGGAACTCCTTGCCAGAGGAGGCTGGGAAGGTTAGGACTATAACAGAGTTTTAAAAAAGAGCTAGCTAAATTCATGGAGGTTAGGTCCATAAAAGGATACTAGCTAGGGGGTAAGGAATGGTGACCCTGGCCTCTGTTTGTCAAAGGCTGGAGAAGGATGACAGGAGACTAACTGCTTGATCATTGTCTTCGGTCCACCCCTTCTGGGGTACCTGGTACTGGCCATTGTCGGAAGACAGGATACTGGGCTAGATGGACCTTTGGTCTGAACCAGTATGGCCATTCTTATGAGGCTGGATGCAGAAGAGAGCTTGAAGTGATTGGGGTGCATGAGGGGTTGCGAGCTTTGGGAGGGAGTTTATGTGAAGGTGGCAGTTGTGACCTGAGGTACAAGAGGGGGTGCAAGGGTTTGGATTGTGACCCATGGCAGGAGGGGGTTGCGACATGGGGCAGGGGACTGGGGTACAGGAGTTTGGGTTGTGACCTAGAGTGGTACAGGAGGGAGGGCAGAGGGTTTGTGTTAAGTAGCATATGGGTGCAGGGTCATTTGTATGTGTGTACAGCTAAGAGCTGGAGAGGAGAGGTACTTTGCATGCTGCTGTGCTTCAAACAGGCAGGTCCCATTGGCCAGAAACCGACCATTGGAATTGTGGTAGGGGCAGGGGCAGGGGCAGCACATGGAACCTCTTCCCCTCCCCAGACAAATGGCCCGACAAGTCACTTTTCTGAGCAACGTACGGAAGAGGGGCAGGCAGGGAGCCTGTGTGAGGCTCTTTGCTGTGTCCATGGGCTGCATCCAGTGGTTTGTTAAGCTGCATCCAGCCTGCAGGCCTTATTTTGCTCTTCCCTGACCTACAAGGTCTTTTTCCACCTCTAACTAACATCCAGCAGTATTGCATGGCACTCGCTGGGTCAGATTCTCCACCTTATTCCTACCATTTTGATACTTCCTCTCCAGCACCTAAAATAAACTGCATGCCATTCCTTATTCTCTCCAACAGTCCTTCTGTCAAATACTTTGTTTCCATTCCTAGATAATTGTAGAGACAGAAATGTAGCCGTGTTAGTCTGGTGTAGCTGGGACAAAAAACAGGACTATGTAGCATTTTAAAGACTAACAAGATGGTTTATTAGGTGATGAGCTTTCGTGGGCCAGAGCCACTTCCTCAGATCAAATAGTGGAAGAAAATTGTCACAACCATATATACCAAAGGATACAATTTTAAAAAATGCACACATGTGAAAAGGACAAATCAAATTTCAGATGTGTTCATTTTTTTAATTGTATGCTTTGGTATAGATGGTTGTGACAATATTCTTCCACTACAGTATTTGATCTGAGGAAGTGGGTCTGGCCCACCTAATAAACCATCTTGTTAGTCTTTAAAGTGCTACATAGTCCTGTTTTTTGTTCTAGATAATTCTAGTCTCTCTCATACTTTCCCTGGCTTATTTAATGCTCTCTCATCTCACAGTGGCTTCATACTATGTGCTAATACAAGACTCAATGCAAAAATAATGGTGATCCTCTCACATGCTATCTATCTATATTTTTTAAAGTGCATGTGCGTGTCAGTCCATTTGTTCACAAACTCCTCCTAAATGGTAAGAGCTAGGGCCACCAAATTTGGTGTGTAGTAAGGATGTTAAAAACTGTGTATTTGTGTAAGCATGTGACTGCTGAAATTTTTAGTGGTTATATGTTAACACATGGAGGGTGGGTAGGCAGGAGGGAGCTGGTGCTCACGGGGAGCCGGCTGTCTGCAAGCATCAGCTCCCGCCTACCCCCTCCTCCTGCTGCTGCCTTTCATGGTGGGCAAACAGCTCCATGGGCTAGAATTAACGGATAAACCTGGGCAAATTCAGGGTTTGGTTGTGCCAAGAAAATGAGATGTGCCTAGAATTTGATAGTTTTCCATTACATGGAAAGGGAGGGGAGCAGAGAGGAGAGATCCTCACACTCACTACTGGGGGGTAGTGAGCCCACAGGAGAGCTATCCTGCAGAGTGATCAATGAGGGCAGCCACACTAGCAAGAGTGACCAGCTGAGGATGGGACTCTACCACCTTAGCTGCCAATTGTAAGTGGCCTCCCTGTCTAAAACCCCTCCACCTGCCGTACCATCGGGGCTGGCCAACCCAACCCCAGCTGCCCCATAGGACCCCCAGCAGCCTGGGAGAGACCTTCATGCACCCATCACCCTGCCCCCACTTCCCAAACCCTGGTCTTGGCCTTCCCATGTCCCTGGCCCAGGCCCCCTGGCAAGCACTGAGCTGCCCCTCCCCTCCAACTCCAGCCCACACAGGGTCATCATTCCCCACCACACCCCCACCCACATCAGATGTAGGCAATCAATGCTGAGTAAGTCTGCTAGTAACAATAATAAAATAGCAAAACATTTCCATCTCTGATACATTAAGAATTTAACTCCAGCATTTCTGAATACTATCAACATCTACACTATTGCAAGTTTAGAACTGAGATATCTAATGCCTTGCATCCACTGGTCTCATCTTTTTGTTTTTTGTTTGACTGGATTATGTCCATTGGGAACCACTACCAAGTGCAAGAAAAATGGGAAAAAACTGTAATTTTAAACACGTGAAAGACTGATGACAGATATATTAATGGTCTGATGATGTGCTGGGCTCCTTACCTGAATAAAGGCATTTGCCTGCACACATTTTGCATTTTCCACTGTTACCTTGATTCCATTTCTAGTTGCAAAACACGTTGCATGGTCTTTAAAATGAATCGCTTTTAGGATATTCGAGAGGTTTCTGACATTGTCAAGACTGGCGACTAAAACATACTGATCATCGGCAGTTTCCAGCTGAGTAGAGAGGGGCATTATTCGTTTGCATTCACCACTCCAATCTTCCCTGTGACCGTATATGTGAGGCCTGCAGGGGCAGTGTCAAAGAGAACCTAAAACAGAGGTCACACACTTCTGTTAATCTAACCCGCTGGTGGTCAAGGACAGGCGGGAACGGCTGCCCGGCTGGCAGCTGCGATGACGCCCCGGCAGCAATGAGGTGGTGAAAGCGACCAGACGGTACAAGTGTAAACGTGTCGCTATTGCTGCTGCCCGCGAGAGGGGCTGGAGTTCAGTGCAATGAAAGCGGCGGAGGAACAGCGGCCCCAGGCCGCGCCGGTCGCTGGCTACCACGCGCCCCGTCCACTGG